GTCTGTGTGACGTCACACAGACAGGCATCTGAGATCGGCTCGATTTGAGAAAGGGGAAAACATTTAACCAGATAAAAAAAAAAAAAAACACCGGGTGGACTTTTATCATTATAGGGTGGTTGTGTACACACACTGCCAACACACATTTCAGTTCAAACAACTTGTAAAAGTGCATGTAGCATCCTATGACCCCTTTAAGAGGTCCGATCATTTGCTAGGAGGCTTTATTTTATGTTTTTTCCCCCTCCGTTTTTTTCCGCTTTGTCTACGTTTAAGTTTGTAGTGCTGCAGTTCAACATTCAGTTTCAACAACCTCTCCAGAATATTACATGATGTTTCTGACTGTAAATGTACTAAAAGTATAACATCAGCTCTAAATGAAGAACCAGGGACCTCCCTAAGAGAGCCGTGCATATGGCGCTATTTACAGAGACCTGGAGCAGCCTGAAAACTTGTTGTCATATCCACAGAGGGTGGAAATGGATGGATAATAGATTGGGACAGTAGAGAGGAGGAGGCACTTTCACCCCTTTAGATTTGAAACAGGCGTCTAGAGATTGAAATCGATCCAGAAGTGAATGATGAATTCTATCCATAACTGGACGTTCAAGTTCCACAATGTCTCAATGCTAATTTAGCAGAAAATTGTATATTGAATTACCTGCTTTGTGACATTAAGGTATTTGTAAGCTGTCTCAATCAGTGTCTTTTGCCATTGGTTTTGAGCATGTCTGCTGGAGATAGCATTATTAAAGACAGTTAGCATTAATATAATATGTAAACGCAATTATATTAAACAAAGCCTTTTTGGATGTGGTTTGGAAGTGATTTTAATTTTAGTGTTTTTTTTATTTTATTTTTATTTTTTTATTTAAGAGCTTTGGATGTGACAGACTAAGATGGTAAATTCACTGGTGTACAACAACTACACTTAATTCTCAGAAACAGTTGTGTGATGAAGGAAAAGGGAGACAAGGAAGTGCTATGAATCTCAAAGAAAAAATGGGTTGAAAGAATCTGCTCGTAGAGAGATAATGGATGAGTAAGGAAAGATGTATGGAGGAGTTTCAGAGACACAGCACCTAGTGCTATAAAGCAAAGTAAATGGTAGAAGTGATGAAAGCTTGATAATGACAGTGGATGAAAATGGTGAGGGATGGAAGCAAGGAAGTTAAAAGCATGACTGGTTTAATGTTGAAGGAAGAACCATAAAGTGATTCCTGAGAAATAGTTGCCCTATAGCAGGAGACATGAAAGGAAGTGATGGAGCTATGAAGGCAAGGCTTTTCAGTGGAGAAATGTTTTTGACAATAGCAGGTGCAGAAATGACTGTCGTATGTATAATGCACTACTGCACCACAAATCTTAGAGCAGCATTGTCACTGAGTATTGTTGAGGTACTCTTCTGGTTAGATTTGTTGTGTATTGTCACCAGTTTTTTTTTTTTTTAAATTGCTGCATAGTTGTGCAAACAGTCCATTTCAACCAACTTTATAGTCTGTCTTGTATCACACATTGATTTTCAGTCATGCATGGATCCATGATAGTCTCACATGCTATAAATTAGATCTCTAATGCACACATAATCATAAATCTTCACAGGTGACAACACAAATTCCATACTGAGCACAAGCTGAACATGGAGCCAGCCAGTCACACGCACATGTAAGCTTGATATTGACGTCAGGAACTCACAACCAAAAAATTGGCCCCATTTCAAGTGATGAGTTGGAATTTGAGTTGAATTAACTTCATCCTATAGGAAACGGAACTGGAATGTTATGAAGCTGAATTTCAATTCAGAGAAATTTGTGGCATTGTGGAAAATTAAGTGTTCTTCCACCCTAATCCATGTGTTTGTAAAGTTTTTAAAACCTTTGATTTTTTTTCTTGTTTCACTTATTGACTTTATATTAAATAAATGTATTACATTTATTTCTGTAATTTATTTTTAATTTATTTCTGTTTATTAGTAGGGAAGCAGCACTTTTTTTAAGAAATAGCCCGTTAAGATTTTTATTATTGAAAATCTATAATACTTAAAATTAAATACTGAAATATGTATAATAAATTATGTATTTTCACCCTTTCTTGAGCACCTGTTGTATTCTTAAATGTATTTTCTCTTAATTTATTTCTACTTTCTACTCGTAAATTTAATTTCAATTCAAGTTCCTATTTGCTCACCTTTATTCTAGATATTCTAGTTCAATTCAC